AGCAGGCATGCCTGGACATAAAGCTGTATCAATTCTATCTCGGCCCCATCAAAGGGTCACCAGCTTAAAGTGATGCCACTCACCCGTAAAGAACAAATTTTAATTTTATGAGCTAGAACCATAAAACGACTGTGACCTTGTGGCCTTTACTATTGTCCTCGATGCTCCCTTCGACTGACCACCGGTCAAGCCACGATAATCATGTGGCTTCAACACACCTAACACATCCCCGTGCCAAAAGCGTATTGTCCGAGATATACAAGTATATCATATAGGATTTACGAATCACGCGTGATACATTCCGAAGCTCAGGAGATTTGGGAGTCCATCTATAATCTTGGCCTTTGTGTCAAGGATCACCCACGATATGGCGTATACATAAAGTACGCTGCATTCTTTGAACATTAACAAACATATAAGATGCTTACACGTCAAGGGTGGAATAAAGTCCGTGTTGACAGTTCGTGGTAACCTTGACCGCTGGAGAGACATTAGACGTTGGCATCAAAGAATACCAATTTCTTTACTCAACGTCGCCGCGACCATGCATCCAGTTTACTGCTTAGTATCTCACCGAATCGAGAAATGGACATTTAATGGCCAACAAGAGAGAACAGCTCAGAAACGACATTGCTCCTTTAACATAGATGGTGACAAAACCGGTTAGCTCTCGCCATTACAACTTGTGAAAATTAACCCTTTTCGCCGTGAAAAATGCTTTTGAAAGAATCCTTTCGAGAACATTATAATGAACAAAGGATTCATATATCTACAGACCGCCACACACCAAGTCGATCTCTAAAGCTGGATTTGATTATACTGTCTCCTGGCATGTATTGAACATGTAATTTTAGTACCCCAGACGCTACAAACCTTAAAGAGTAATGCGAATATGTCATTACAACGTTAAGTACCGTATTTGCTTTAAGTAAAACCCACGTCCTTTTTTCTTTTCGTTCTGGGTATTAAGGGTTCGGCAGTGCGGAGGTGAATTCGCAGTAATTCAGACCGATGATGAGCCGAGTCACCTTAATACGGATCAGGTGCTACCCAAGAGCCACTAAAACACTGATAAAACGCCAGCAATCCCGCTTGTCTACAGCCAGATAAGGTCATTTATTACGCAAAGCCTCTGACACCAGCTATAAAGATATTAACGACATGATTAGCGCTAGATACCAGTGCGAAAATCGAAGGTCGGAATGGGAAAATAACTAATATGAGAATAAAGACATTGCTTGGCTTTTAGCTGGGATCTTAGTGCTGTGTTGGAAAAAATTGCTAGTATAGTCATATTCCCTGCATATTTTTTAGATAACGGTCGTCAGAAGGCCCATGGTGGGTATGATCAAAGAGGGTGTATGCTTTTCATATTGACTACAGTTTTAGTGCCTCGAATATCATCTGCAGCTCTTTTGATGACGCCTTGTGAAGACCTGAGATACTTAGCACTATTCTGAAGGAGCTAATCCAAGGTAATCGGCCAATGATTAGATTGGTTATCACTAGATTTGGTCGATAAACCTCATGATCCTGGTCGTCGGCAAGCAAGCACCCGAGGCAGTTTCAAAGACATGAAGACTTCCAGCGGGTGCGCCCCGCTGCATGTTCCTTATACATGGCACCGCAAGCAATTACATTGGGACTTAATATAATTCCCTCGAGCCGATGGCATGGGTTTTTATACAATCCGGGAAATGAAACAAATGTTGTTGTTTTTATCTAAGTTATAGATTATCGCTTAATAAACAAACGCAGGAAACAAGTATATTTGGTATGTCATGTTCTTCCGTCTCGTTGTAAGACATATATGTGACAGTCAAAGTTAAATCAGTTAATTTGTAAAATGACTGAAATATTTAGGCTTTTTGTCTTAAATTTACAAAGTGAAAATCTGATTCATTTAACCCATTTACTGTAGCATACATGTCCATACATATCATCAGAACGCATTGACGTAAATGTGATAAAGACATCGTGTATATGTTTATTGCCATTCGTTGGGGAAACGCCTGTCATATTCTTTTACATCCCACTTAAGGGTAATTCAAAACAATACATAATGCAAGTTTCAATATACACGTAAAAGCTCTCTATTGATCATTTTATCTTTAAACAGCTACATCTGTGCATGAATACCATTTTAACGGTGTACTTTATTTGGCTATACAACATATCGTCTCACTGAAGTGTAGTTTCTACCGGTAAAACCCCAATCTACATTGGTTTATCGCATATTCTCGTCATGAATAAATAAAAACTTGAAATTGTAATGGAAACATTCCAACAACTCGTAGTCCGATAGTTTCGTCATAGCAATAAAGCCCTTTGTTATACAAAAACAACTCGATATAAGTATTCTGAGTGCTATGGCAGATCAAAGAAAAAAATACGTATCCGTTGCAGATCTTTGCGCGCATTAGCATTAGCCGGGGCCATTGAAAAAAACAGGAATTCGCGCAGAAACACCTTTAAAAGTATTTTCCTGATTGCTGAAAATTGATCACATGGCCATGCAATAAAATGTATTCCTCGTAAAGCGTTCACTCTAGCATATATACCAATTGGATCAATCAGCGAATTGAATATGGAAGCCAAATACACGGTCTATACTTTTAACAATCCACCACTGGCGAACCGTAAAATTCTATTTTTATTGCACCAGTGCTATTGAGCAACAAGGACCGCCATTGCAGGAGTTGTAATCGGACGTTGCCGTTGGCCTATTGACAATGGCGCGCAACAACAGTTTCAGCTTTTCGCAGTATTCAACTTAATTAGTTCCTTTGGAATTCGTTACAATACAATAGTCCCGCGGTAGCGAGCTACTAATGAGTGATAGGGGACAGGACGATACTTTGATCCTCTTCGTGGTGCAAGAGCCTTTTAGTTCGATCTGCGAGAGGTCGCCTCTAGCATATGTTTAACGGTGAGACCCACCAGAGATAATAATGGTTTTTGAACCTGACAGTGAGGTACCGATCGACGTCTCGTTACAGGAAATAGCAAGTAAAATTTAGCTTTTGCACATGTCACCAAGGTGAGGTCAAGATGCCGAATGCTGCGATAGCTTCTCTGCGGAGCAACCGGAAGTCCCATAGGCGCGATGGCGGTCAAAGATTAATATTTGTGCCATCAGAGTATAAACAAACGTATGTGATTTCTGTTTTAATTTCCTGGAAATGGCTTCGAGCAAGCAACTCAAACCCATAACATTCTTCAAGGAAGAAATCAGATCTCTCAAATTGACAGTGGCTAGGAGTGTTAGTATTGGACAAACACCTTACGGCTTCCAAATGTCCATTTAACAAGAGAGTGCCCGAGGTGGTCACTCCACAGAGCGACAGATGACGTTGATCGAGCGGTCAATGTTTGTTGACCAAATGCCGTATCACTGCAAGCAAACAGATCTTGTCTAAACTCAATCTGAATAAAACTCGTTTCCAAATTTCATTTTTTGTACCAAACTTATGATCGAATGAGGAAATATCTTTCGCAACCTATTTCTTACTGATGCATGTGTTAAAACCAAGAGATTATTGTGGGTTTTACTACTGTCACTGTATCTCTGTCATGATAACGTTGGGAATGGGTCTCTTACATGAGTTCTTACAGAGGTTTTTCTCACACAGTCTACGCGATGCCACCCAACAAAGCGAAATGATTATTCAAATGCGACATTTAAACTACATTCTTGCGAGGTACAATGCATTGCACATGTCTAAAGTGATGTATCTTCCTGGTATATCCTAAATAACTATTTTCTTCACAAACCCAAAGTTGAAACTTTTCTGCTACATATTGCCTAACTTGTAATGCATTTCATAGTATTTTTAAAATGTCAAATCTGAAATTGGCGTGGAAAGGTTACAGGAAATACCATCCTCCGCAAGTACATGTTGCCATACACAACTCATTACTTAGTTTTACCTTACATCTATATGGTGTTCTGTCATCAAATACATGCTTTGATTAGTTCTTAGAATAACACAAACATTTTATTGTAAAGAACTGCTTCATCTGCCAGTGAATACCACCAATTCTCCAGAAATGATTGGGAACCCTTTCTGCAGACCCCAAAGCTCTCTCATGGCAGTTCCCTTGGGTATGACAACGCGGTTCAGACCAAGGATTTATAGGCTTTCGAATTTCACCGCCATGACCGGCTATTATTTCAGGGAAATCCTTTTGAAGATGCGTTTTATTAAGTACGACAGAACCACTGCGTTGAGGGTCTGTCTCGGGACAAAGCTCCGCGAAAAGCTCCACGATAAGAGAGTTCTGTTGCGAAACCCTAAAATCTCTAATTCGATTTCACGTTATTTCTTTACTCGAATTTCAAACTAGGATATTTTTTATATCTTGTCTAATCACCCTGCCTTTATGGTTCTGCCTGTTTTTAAAATGTTTAATAAAGTTGCACAAGAAGAGGGTTCAATGTCCGTCTTGACATTTTCGGGAGATTTAAGAGCATGTTTTCAAGCCAAATATTGAAAAGCTATCGGCTGGTTCTTACAGTGAGACTTTGAAATTAAAGATGTTTATCTTTGGGATGTGCAATGACGGTCAATCACTCAAAAGGCGTGCATTTCTGTATAACACATGGTCATGCATACGGTATGAACATATGAAGAAGGCAATATGTTGTTAATACCTTGCTAATCCTACGAATTACCACGACGTGCTGTTAGTTTGTTAGTGGTGGAGGCTAGGGGTAACAAGAACTAATATGATGCTATGTATACAATTATACACGTCACTCACGCTTACCTCTAACAACAGCTCCGTACTTTATCCAAGGGCGATAACTGACGTAGCCACTAGTGAACATGAAGTGTTCATGTTCTAAGAATATTATGTCTTGTCTCGCTACACGGCGACGTTATGCTATTCTCAGAGTCAGATTCTCTTTGAAAAATGTCCCTGAATAAGTTTGGTGTGGTAAAAGGGCCCGTCATGTCAAAAATCATATTAATGATGACGCCATTCTCGAGACTCACCTTCCTGAAGGTATAAAACTGCTGGCCGCCATATTGGTCTGACGTCAGTTTCTTCAAATAAGGGTCATCAAGTTCAGCCCCACTGTCGAAGGAGAAACTTGTTTTGTTGCCCATCTTCCCCTTCAATATTTTATCAATGTTCTTCTCCGTGTCATCAGCACTACCGGAACTTTCTTCCTCTCCCGGCACGCTGTGCCAGAGCTGTTTATCAAAGGGCCTCCCGTCCCCCTGTTCCTGAATAGCAATGGAGCTCCCATTTCGACGCCTGGAATCGGCACGTTTGATGTGTAAGATTATGATAACAATTATGATAGACAGAATAACAGTCACCCCTCCAACTGCACCGGCTATGATTATATATTTTAAGTCATTGTCGCCAACTGATGCGGCCAGTGTGGTGTTGTAATACACAATCTTAATGATCATCTTGGTCTGAGATTCCTGCTGTGGCATGCCGTGATCCTGCACTGATATTGTGATCCTGTAAAACTCTTGATCAGTCGGACGAAGCTGTCTCGCCAAGACAATCTTTCCCGAACGGGTGTTAATATGAAATGGGTTGTCCTTATTTCCAACAGATATGAAATACGACATTTGTCCATTGATCCCTTGATCATAATCCACAGCAGTAACTTCAGAAATGACTGTTCCTGGATGTGTGTCAGAAGCAATGAGCACTGTGTTGTTTCTCTCGTTGGGGAAGAGTATAATGGGGCTATGATCGTTAGAGTCAACAACATTGATATACACACGACCGGTGCTGTTTAAAGACGGTTTGCCACCGTCCTTCACTAAAACGTCGAATTCGTACCGATCTTTAAGTGTCCTATTAAGCCGTCTGTGGGTTCGTATCACTCCGTCAGAAAACACAACAAAGGGAGGTAAATCTCCTCTGACTAGCATCAGATATTCAGTGCGAGCATTAATCCCAGTGTCTCTATCCTTGGAGGTCAGTTGACCAACCTTGGTTCCTGTTGGTCGGTCTTCGGACACATTGAAAACCAAATTCGATGGGTCAAGGTAAGGTTGGTTGTCGTTCTGATCCAGCACCGTAACAATGACCGTGGCCGTGCCTGACATTGACGTTTCCCCTTCGTCGACAGCCTTGACGGTAAAGGTCATCTGCGAAAGAGTCTCTCTGTCGAAGACAGCGTCTGCAGTGATATCACCGGTTTGATGGTCGATTCTAAACATTGAATCACTTTCAAGGCTCATGAAGTACAGCATCAAAGCATTCTGACCCGTGTCACGATCGGTCGCCATTATACGAGTGACGACAGCACCAACGCGGTTGTTCTCGGTGATGTTGGCATAATACGTGTTGTTGGTGAAGACGGGAGGGTTATCATTAACGTCAGTGACTTCAAGACTCATACTAGCAGATGTAGCCATTCTAGGTCTTCCATTATCTTCACATACCACAGTCAGATTGTGTTTTACTTTCTTCTCCCTGTCGAGCTTCTTCTTAAGCTGAACATTATACCCCCTTCCGGGCATCACCTGCACCACGAAGAGCTGGTTGAGGCTGCGGCAGTCCACAGCTCCATTCCTCCCCTGGTCGTTGTCCACCACCTTGATGTGGGCCACGACGGTGCCGACAGACATCCCCTCTGACAACAAGACGGTGCCATGCACACCAGGAGACACTGAATTCATTGTAATCTTTGGCGGGTTGTTACCAACATCTTTAATACGAATGATCAAAATCGCTTGGGACACTTGCACTGTATCCCCGTTATCCATAGCTTCAATCACAGTTTCAAAACTATTACCAGATTCATACTGTAGAGGGTTTCTCACGCTAATGTCTCCTGTTTTACTATTTAGAGCGAACAGCTGTGGAATTTTGCTGGACTTGTGTGGACTAAATCGGTATGACACGTTACCATTGAGACCAGTGTCTTTATCCCTGGCCAGAACTCGGCCGAATATTGATCGAACGGGGCTGTTTTCTGTTACAGTAAAGTCGTAAACATTTTCAGAGAACACCGGGATATTGTCATTTACGTCGGTCACATTGACATACAGAGTCAGGTTTCCTGAAAGAGGTGGCCGGCCGCCGTCTTTAGCAATGACTGTGAGTCTGTAACGGCTTCTTCTCTCACGATCTAGTGATTCTCTTACAATCAGCTTCACGCTCAAACTCCCATCCAGAGAGTGATCGACCTTGAGACCGAATGTGTTACTGTCGGCCACCATCTCGTAACTACTGACAGAGTTATTGGCGCCTCTGTCTGGGTCCGAGGCTCCGTCGATCCTGAAAGTGGTACCGGGGGTCACAGCCTCGGAGACAGACAACGTAACCACGGGATTGTGGAATTTCGGTGCGTTGTCGTTAACATCTTCCACCGTGACCTTGACAGTGACAATCTCAAAGTATGACGTTCTGGTTGACCTCACAGTGGCGTCAAACACGATTGTACAGTCATATGAAAAGGAACACACAACGCGAGAATCTCTGTCAATCATCGCAGCTGTGTAAATCGCCCCCGTCTCCGCATTTATACTAAAGTAGGACGTTGTCTTTAGATCGTTTGGGTTAAGAAAATTGTATCTAAGTGTATGAAACTCGCTTTGTGAAACTGCTTGGATGATACCACTGTCCTCCGCAACACTCCCTACGTAGGTTGCTACAGGCACGTTTTCCTTCAAACGGAAATGAATTGTCAGTTGATCAGCAGACGACAATTGGACGGAGATGGCCGCCATCATGGTTGCAAGAAAGATGGCTGCCATTGCTGAAACTGATCGCTTCTGCGTCACCTCCTTTGTCCGCTCCTCGAAGATTTCATCACAGGACACGTCTCACAGAATCCTGAAAGAAAAAGAATTATAGATAATTGGAAACGCCACTTCTCAAGCAATGAATCGTATTCAAGGAAACGTGCCTTCAGAAACTCCGCGATGCTTTGCCTGTTTAATTCAAATCACAAGGTCAAAGTTCAGAAAGAACAAATACAGGGAACCAGAATAATGAACCTCGATCTCTTTTAAAAAACATTAAAATCATTAAATTCAATTTCTGAATCTGGGTGTACATACATCCCGCTCCTCTTGGTCTTTCAGGTGCAGGGTATGCATATTCTAACGGATATTTATCTCCAAGGGGGCTGGAATAATGTTATTTGTCATGGTAAGGTATGAATAATTCGGCAACAAACTGCTCAGTCGCTTCCCCGGGAATATCTGCCCTCCCCTCACATACTCCCTTGCGTGATTAAAAAACTTCACGTTCAAACACGATTGCTCCAAATATCTTTAACATGTCTGAATAAAGACCGATATTTTTTCAAAAAGCCTTTGTTCGCTATCTGTTACTCCATGTTTGATCACTGTACTGTCCAAAAATGGATTATTACGTGTCCATGAAATTTTGTCAAAGAGTGTTAAGTTACAACCCTCTTTCAGCGTACCATGCACGTCGTTCGTCTTCGTCTAACGGCCTTTAGTACAGCTCTACCCGCACAGTTGGCGCAAACAGCTCCACGAACACGAGACAACTAATTTGGGTTCCCCTGTAGGCGAGATTGATCGTTTAACGAGCTGAGATGGTTATTCTATAATGAAACAATACACTGTGGCATAAGGACATTGTACGTTGGCACCGCAGTAAGACAGTGTTTGCAGGGAGATGGGGTTTCGTTGTTAAATCAATAGAAACATTTAGCGGTGTCGAAATCCTATTGTTAGAGACAAAAGATCATCTCAAGAGCAACTGAGACGACATCACGCCTCCTTGCACTGACAAGATGGTATTGTGTTTCGAAGCAAAATGCTTCATGCAAATCGTTCCATGTCTTAATAAAACCTGATTAAATTCACCGAACGAGATAGACCTGTTACGATCATGCTTCTTTACGGCTTAGAGTCGTGTAATGAAATGACTATGCATGTGGTAACTGGGCGCTTGAAACTAAGGATATTCTACACAGTCTTTGATGAACACATTTTAACATCAGAATAACTGAACCAGTCGACGTCGCATCGAGTCACGGTCTTTTCCTGTTTACGTTTTTTCATTCGTTTATTCGTCGCTTTTTTATAATTGGCCTATCAAAACACATTTCAAGCTGAAGTAACAACAACGAACGCCTTGTTGGAAAGCTGAAAAGTCTGAAGTGTTTCAAAACAGTGTCTTTCAAGTTAGTTTCTTCAAACCTGAGAAATATCATCCAAGCAAAGCAGTGGCTTCAAGTCTCATTAGAGGATTTTCAAAGAGGTCCCTCCAGCCAAAAACGGCAAGGTCTGAGAAAACAACATGCAGATACCAGCGCTGCTATACACCACCAAGGATGTTTTTAAAGCATGCATAATGAATGCCTATGGCAGAAAATGAAATTCTAGTTAAAAAAATATTTTCAGAATTCATGTAATCAAGAGCTGATCAAAGCACAAAGAAATAGCTCCGTCAGCGGATAAATCGGAGTGTTAGCTGAAAAACGGATGAATTAAAAGATCTTAAGATCTCGAATCCTTTGGGACTTTATATATTTCTTTACCTACCGTCGAGGTTAAGACATGGCAGATTTCCAAAACATATTTATGTATTAGTATGGATATGATAATAAAAACGGTTTACGTTTATCAGAAAAATGGTTTCATGGGTTTTGAGCAGTAATAGTTTTATCAAAGCCGCGAAATTGTATAACCCCTGCTTCTTTCTATGAATAATTATAATATCCATGGCAATATTTATGTTTTCCTTCTCCATTCAAAGAAATATTCTGTTCTGACCGGTATACCTTTCCGAAAATTACTCCTCAATAAATTCCCTCAGTCGCTGAGAATGCATGCAGCTAGAAGAAATCAATAAGGAGACCGAACACCAGTGAAACTGCCGTAATAGACAGGACGAAAACCCAGACTGGTTGCCTGGGAAAAACATATTGTAGTAATATCTATTCTTAAGGCGATTTATGGGTGGAAAGCTGACTATATGTGAGGAAATATTACGGAACAGTTTCCAGGCTAGGTTTTAGGCAGTCGCTGCAACCGTATACATTCCCTCAGCGTTGCTCTTTGAAACTGTCAGGAAACTGTGTTGGTTAATATTGAACATAGTCTGCAGATATATTACTGTCTCCGTCGCCAGACGCGGGGGCCTTATTGGTCAAGTGTATTTTTTCAATCAGATGATACCTGCGATTAATCATCATTTTACGCAGAATTTAATAATCTCTACCGATTGCTTAGTCTTCGTACAATATATTACATGAATATTGTATAGAATATTATTGACATTTCTTCCCGAAAATATATCGACCTTACACATATGTTCTACGGGCTTGTCAGAATGAGTGGAAACCAATGTGTTACCAGGGTTACGCAAACGATCTGCTTCGAATGTAGAACCAAAAATGGTAAATATGTGTAGCTGACTTTCAAAGGTAAAAATATACAGCTTATTTGTCAACCGACAAATGTACAATAACACGTCATTTAGTAGATTGGCTATATTTCAACAAAACCACAGAATATAATGTCAACATTTGTTAATTGACAGGAATAAAAAAAATATAGTAACTTACAGTTAACTACCCGGTCGACACACGGTCCACAGTACATAGAATGAGTCGTCTGACACACAGCACTTCATAAAGTCATCCATACCGATCCGGAGTCACTTGCTGAATGACACAGTCGGGCCAGGTGGCCATACTCGTTATCCTTCGTCTGACAGAGGTTCTAAGTCTTTATCTACATCACCGAGAGAACGTGCCAACTGCCAGCATATGTCCCACGAACACCACACAATAATCCCCAAAGTCAACTCGAAATTATCGAAAATGTTATCTTAACAACTACTTAACAAAGTCAACTTATTCAACGCCGGATTAGCGCTGCAATCAAAAGGGGACTGACCGAGTGACCAGAGCTAAATGTCCAAGATGCTTCATTGACCAATTAGATACCGTTGGAGTCTCAATATTGATTCTTCACGCAACGTCGTCATCGTGTAGAGGGTCTCCTGCGATTTTCTGATTGCTATCACCGGGGTTTTTCAAGATTACAAAGCCAACCTTCAGTCACCATGACAAAATCGCCAATGTTTGTGAAACAGTTTACACCTTTATCGAAAGAACATACACTCTACGTGATGGTGCATAACCCTTTGAAGAATCGGTCGAAACGAAGAATGGTAAAGACGTACAACTCCAAACACAATTCGGACGAGAGGGCAATGTGTATATCCGCTTCCACCACATAATAGCTTGTACGACTATGGTTATAATGACTGAAATCCCTGCCCAGAGTTGACTTAACGTATTTGTATGTGTGGTTCCGCGTAACGAGAACGAGTCGGAGGGGGCTTTCCCACCAGAACGGCGTGTGTACCAGGAACGGGGAGTCAACAGACACACTGCTTCAGTCGCCGTATGTACACGATCAGCTTCGGGACTGACTTAGCTTAGCGAGACCATACGAAGCTAAATGCGGGGGAAAATACAAAGCATTGCCTTGTTTACCTCCGGGCGCTCCAGAAAAATGTCGAGTGTTTAACAGGCCAGGATTGTATTTACTTTCCAAATAAATCTCTTTCTGAAAGGCAATAAGGTGAATTAATATCATTTCCGAGGCGTGAATTGATGCAATATATGATCTAGTGGCGGTTTAGTGCCTTACATAATCTATTACCGCTACCACGAAGCGGCTAATATCTAATAACGAGGCATAACGTAGCTCATGTACAGCCAAGATAACACCAATGCGCGGCACTTCCTTCTCCGCTCAAGAATCACACCAGACTGATTACCACCAAATAAACATTCGTTCGTTTTAACAGTGCTTTTTCTCGTCCTCTTTGAAACACTGTCGCCTTTGACAAGCGTAGAGTATTTCAAAAGCTACAGATTACAGAGGCAAATACACAACTGTATGTCTGACATATACGTATTTGACCTGTTTTCACGCTTGGCAGGGATCTTAATTTCGATACAAAGACGCTCTGTTAAACATAAAAACAAACGTATAAAGCTATCGGTGAAAAAAACAACCTAAACCATTGATGGGCTTTAGGAATGTACTGTTACAACCGAAACATCTCCATCATGTTACACATGCTATAACATCAGAAACATTAGGACTTTGGGGTATGTAGGTCAGATCCCTTTTGTAGATCCAGACCAAATGTCATGATTTCAAAATGTTTTTTTTATTCTCTGAAATGCCTTCACCGGTTTTTATGTTGGTAGTAAACGATTCTGAACTGACAACCAAGATCGTTATTCGCCACAGAGGTAGAATACCGTCATATTGAGTGCGTTATATGTGGAAATGAATAATTTATTCACATATTTGCTTTCAGATATCAGAAATGGACCACATCGAAATGATTGCATTCAAGACAAAGCATCTCGTGTTCAAAGAAGGAAAACATGACTGGGTCGTTTGAAAAAAATAGGTTGTACCTTTTTGTTGAGCAAAAATACAAACTTGCTTTCTTTTTTAAAATTATCAATCTTAGTAACAATAGCAAAATGTCTTTGTCGCGTTATCAAAGGCTGCAGTCCTGGTACATCAATAAATAGTGCGTTTGCAGCGTCACTTTAAATTGCCTCATCGTCGGCAAAAAAACGACGCTTAAGGGACTAACGATTTTATAGATTGAAAACTCGTTCACACAAGCAAAGAGCTTGAACGGTGAAAGTAACAGACCTTTGATCAAAAGCAGTGAGGGGGTTATTTTGAAAAGGAACGAGTTCAGAAGTTCTCGTAAAACGGGGCTGATCTCATTGGAAATGACTATATAAAGTCTTCCTGACATAACTGAGTGCGATTAAAGACTCTTGACAATCTGCTCGAAAAAAAACATATTCCGAGCGTGTTTTTGTCTCCCAATTTCCAACCTAAAGGGAAAATCCCTCGTCTCTTTGAAGACGGACGGTAATCGGTGTTGTCAGTGAATATCAAAGTCAAACTGCATAGAATACCATGTGTCAGAAACGATGTTGTTCTACATTGTCAAGTCACTGAAAGTACCCACGAGAATGTCAATACACGTTATTTTGCAATTGTTCGTGTGCTACTGTCCTCAAGCAAAGAATGTTATTTGCGTTCCGTACAAGAAACACGATTGTGCTGAACAAAACGGCAAATTAGGCCATTATTTTATCAACTTAGGCACCGGGAGAGTTCTACAGTGATTTCCTAAGCATTCAGTCAGGTTTCAATCACCAAAGAAAATATTATTTACAAAACCTAAATCAAAGTTCATTGCATAAATTTTGCCTTTCACAACATGTAAATAGTAAATTACTTGGCTATCGATTATGGTCAAATATTCATTAAGCAACAAAGCGCCTACATAAGTGGTTGCTTTTGTAAAATAATGACGTATTATCGTGTTGAGATTTTTACAAACAGAACAAAATGGACACTATTTAACCGCAGCATTAGAAGAAGCCGTGTGTAAATTCAATATAACTGAGTTTATGCTTGTGGAACAAAAAAAAAAAGCTTGACGAAAGAACCGCAGACAAATGGAATATGGGACAATGGATATTGTTATCACATCAAACACGCCGACAAAGTCCCAGGTGTGTGGCCGGCGTTCATGAGATACAGGTAAGTATTACAGGTGAGACACACTGGTCGATGCAGAGGTAATTACGATGGTGATCAATTGCCATTATCCCTCGGACCTCTAGGGACGGAAACGACAGGTAGAATAGAGCGATAATTCCATAATGGTCACTTACGAAGAAGCATCAAGTTAATTTACGGTCGACGTATTGACTGAAGTGTTACGGTAGAGGCGTAGCTACGTCGATCCCATTACACAGGTGAAGAGACCGTGTCCGGAAATTGGCTATATTATTGTTGACAAATGCATCTCATCTCTAAAATTATCCACTAAGTTGCTTTTGTTTGTTTAAGTAAGATACCACACATTGATATTTACACCATTTGTCCATAATCAAAAAATCGTTCGAGAATACCATCCCCATACATAAATCGCCTAAAATAAAAGCTGCGTAAATGGGTTTGAAGTGAAATACACGCATTTCAGAAAAGCTTAAACATAATTCATATGAACGCAATGTGTTTAATGCATGTGGGCCAGCAATAAAAGTGATTTAAGATTTTAAATATGGCCATTAAATGTTGAAGAGGAGGAGCCATAACGAGCATGTTAAACCAAACGTTTGCTTTTCCATAATGTGTCTTGGTCGATAGAGGCGTGCATTTATATTTAACATGGCTAAGACGGAACTTGCTGTGATGTCGTTCTTTATGAATTAATAACAAGCTGCTCGTGTTTCACGTGCAAATACTGCTGATGCTGAGTGAAATAGACATAGACGGACACACGAATGGCAGAGCTTTTAAATTTTTAATTATTAAGCTGCACTTGGTTTGAAAACAAAATCTTTAAAGATAACGGAGTTGCGTCACATGATATATGTTGATTTTTTTCAAATGGCCCTTGCAACAATACAACAAACGACGCTTATTAATTCATAAAATAGGTACAAATTTGGATATATTAATACATTGCATGTTGGTTTCAACAGTACATTCACAGAAATGAAATACCAAGACATGTTACCCTTGCGCTTGACAGTAAGTGATATCGAATTTCCAAAAGTAAACTCAGATTAGATCGATGATGAAAATATCCCGGCAAATTGTTTTTTATTTGATAATATTATCTTCAAACCCTCCATTAGGTATATGAATTTAATAATTGTCAAACACAGAAATTTAGCTCGAGACACTGCGGGACATCGATCCACACCAAGGACCGCGTGGAGATACAGTGTCACAACATGGCTCAATTTCAACATATGCTGAGTATTAATTAAATATCTCATGCGGGGTTTGTTGTTGAAATGTCAGCTTTGTGCTCTTCCCTCAAAGCGGAGTCAATTTTGACCTTGAACCTGTTTGAATTAGATCCCTTTGTGCATTTGAAGACGGCATAATATTTGTTAATCTACCCTCTGGTATCAAATCGATAGCATCAGTTTATAAACTCTGTCTCGCAAATGTTAGATGTTCAAAGAAATATTAGGTTACATTGGCAAAACATTGGATTCGATTGCAAATCATACTGGCAGTTAATAGAATTGATAGCATTGAAGGGATATCCAGCTGACATTTTACCTCATTATAACAGCTACAAGTGAAGAGGATTGTATCATCCTCGAAATAAGGCGAAACGTGAACCTGTCAACTCAGGAGCCATGTCAATCATTACAGAGTTGTTTGACAAGCAGTTACTTTTCAAAGAAATTCTCGCGTGTTTCTTTCAATCACTGGCTTACTAAGACATTAACACCAGCGTGTGTGTGTAGTTCACTGTGTCCTCACCAACGGCCTCGGGAATATACAAAAACAGTTAATGTTTCAAAAAGCGCTTAAAATTCAATTTCAAGAGCTCAACAAAATATAGATAAAATCTATGAATCATCCATGGCAAGTCGCCGTGTGAAAGTCAAAAACGCCGGACATAAAGAAACATGTAATTTACATTACTAACAGCTGAGCTAGATAATAGCAAAGGGCGGGCGATAGTCTACTCATTTTGAAATTGACATGCTATTGACAACGTGGCGGGTAAAAGAGCCCTTTTTGCTTCCAACTGAATTAATACAGGGCTTTGTACAAGTGAATTATCCATTCGTTGCTGTCTAACTAAGCCTAATCACCATCTTCACACACTTCGTGTGACAAGTTCTTAAATTCCGACACGGTGGTTGTCATTTTGCCACTCGAAATTGTTAAGTTGAATATAAATGGTGATACTAACTCTCATAAATTTCGCTCGATAGTAATTTACACGACAGGGCTGTCCCACATGTGGGACAAAATGGCGCATGCCACACAATTCATACCACTGCTACTATTACCGAGTTCGAGTTTAATACAATCCGCATCTTCAACAACCTAATTATGCTAATCTATAGACCTTAGGTTCCTGGAAAGAAAATGTGACATATTACAAAACCTTTCTCGTTTTTTGTCCGTGAAGTCCAAAAAGGCTAAAACACAAATAAGCTAAAATATACAACAGCTGTGGTGTATTAGAGTGGCAAATAAGAGACAGAACCCCACGGTCATAAAACAAATATTTATTTATTTATATCTAATAATTTCCACTTACTCAATTTCCTACATATCGTTCAGCATACGACATTTGTTTCGTTTCTAAAGGTCCAACTCGTTGTCGGTTGCACAGATGGTACTTAGAGCAGGCTGTGCCACATCATAAATATCAGTTAAACGCACTATTAAACGACTGATTCATACTGCTCATTGATGATATATCAGATGCAAGGGCATTGTATTAGTCTCGTATTAAAGTCCTTGGTCTCTCCATTTCAATGTCCTAGCTGCTCGTCCTCGAAG